TAGCTAGCCAGATGATAGATAGCTAGATAGCTAGATAGCTAGATAGATAGATAATAGAAATCTGAGTTAATCTTCCAGCAGAAGAGTGAGCACAAACAGCTGAATATTGTGCATGAAAGTGCTTTCATCTTGGTCAAGGGACAGATTTTTCTGGAGAGAAGTAAATTTGAATATAAGTGCCTTCAAAACGATGCACATCCATATTCTGTGTCCATAGCTCTGCTATATTTCATACTGCACACTCTGGCTATTTCAGAAAAACCCTTTTTGGATGCTTTTTTATCTATATTTAGGATGCTATCCTCATTCCAACCATGTGACAGCCACACTCTCATTTAGCTCCCTCTCCTTGAGCCTTTTATCCCTTGTCCCTCCAAGAACATCTAAGAGCAGCTGGACTGAAGTGTCAGACACTAAAGAGACAGGTGGAAAGGAGTGCTCAAAAATTACTCTGTGTATTTTATATTTAATTAAATGAAAGGGCTAAATTGAGCCTTTAAAATATAAGAGAAAAGAAAAAGACCTTAATGGGTCTTGATGACATCTTTTTAGTAGCTTACATCTTTTCCTGCCAGCATAGTTTTTGAAGTCTCATTTCAAGGTTTTTGTGGCAGAGCTGATTGTGGTTATAAACTTGTGAGATGGGAATGAAATTTTCCTGATTTCTGCAGAGGAAGGCTGCTTCAAAGAGGTGGAGATCACATTTCTATTCACAGAGCTCTGGTGTAGCCTGTCAAAAACCTGAAGTGAACTGGAGGCACAGAAACCCAGATTCTTCCTCAATATGCCTATATTTATTTACTTATTTATCTATTTATAGATTTAAAGCAAGAATGCACATAAGGATTTCTATATAACACATTTTCTTGTTATATGTCCAGCAGTATCCCAAATTTCTTAATTTATTGAATTTCTACTTCTGATGTCCAGCAGTATCTTAAATATCTTCCTAAATAATTATTTTTCCCTATGCAGTTTCTGGTACTAAACAGAGAGTGGAGGAAAAGGCCTCATTTGTTCATCAGTTTTTTCTTCTCCTTTACCTCCTGCTTCTTAGGATTATAAAGTTTATTTGGGGAGTAAACACCAATTTGCTTTTCTTTTTGAAGGAGCAGTAAAATTGATTATTTTAGCTGAGTAAAGTTATCTGTCTTCCAACACTTGAACTGTTGAGGATAATCTCACCACTTGTTTAAGCAGAGTAATATTATATAAAATATTAAATAATATAATACAGATTGTCTTATTTAATAATACCAGCTTGTAACAATGAGAGTAATTCTTCACTCAACAGTTTTCCCTCAGTTATTGCCTTGGAAATAATTCAGAGTCTAAAAAGAACACTGCTTTTAGGGAATATATTAATTTCAGTATATCAATATATTAATTATATATTAATATATTTATATATTAATATATGTCTATATAACTATAAAATATTCTATTATTGTCTAATATTTTAATATTGATATATTTTATATTAATCTATTATTTTTCATGAATTGCAAGGATTTGGTTTATCCAGATTCCATCGATATTGTGCCTTGGAATGGGCCCTGCAGTGACTGCTCAGTTCCTTGTGTCTTCTCTCCCTTCAGATTTCATTGGTTTTGTCACTGTGGTGCAGTAAAATTAATCTCATGGCAGGCAATTCCCTCAGAGTAAGGAAATCTACCTGTAATAAAAGTAGTTCCTCATGATCACAAGAATCTCTAACACACAAAATGATGTTTATTTAATTAGTATTAATTAGTGTAGCCAATTCCAGAAGGAAATCACCCAGGTTAATGCCTCTCTTTCTACCTTTATTGCATATAAACCCTTCTGTATTGTACCAACCCTGACATTTTTCTCCTATTTGTGTGAAAACACAAATACATCAAACTATAAACTAAATACGTGCTGTGTTTTACCCAGTTAGAATGATCTCCTACTGATTTACAAATGGTTGGGAGAGGATCATTATTATTCAGGAAAGAAGGATTAAATATACTCTTAACACATTTCAGGAGAGGGCCCAAGGGCTGAGCATTGTCCTCCTGTACCTCAAATTCATTTCTTTCCAGCTCAGTCACCTGAGACAACCTCAGTGAGGATAAAAAAATGACATTTTATCAAAGTTGAGTCCACAGAGAAGCTACAACCTCCTACTGAAATGTTCAAATCTGTATTTTTAGTGCAGAACGTATCCCAGGCATTCGGAATTGCTGGCACTGCAACGTGGAATCCGTGCCTATGTATTCCATAGATGCAAATTCCTCATAAGGAAGCAATAACAGCTAAAATGACATTATTGCTGAACAACCAGAGGCTGCTCCCAGTCGCACAGAGAGGCCAAGCCAGGCCTGGAATGCTCCAAACCAAGAAGTGCAGAGTCGGAGCAATCCTGAGCCCCCGAGGCAGCAGGGAGGGAGGAGAGGGAGATGCCCAGGAATGCTGCAGCAGGAATGCTTGTGGTTAAAAACAGGAGCAACCACATGAATCAGAGGGCTGAGGAGACAGCCAGACGACACTGATGGCAAAAAAAAAAAAAAAAAATTAATGCACAGAAAATAAAAAATCAAAAGGAGCCCAAGAAGAATTAAAAGGCGCCAAAAGATCTCTGTGTGTTTGGAGAATGGAAGGACAAAACCAAAATAGCTCAAAAGTTCAGACAATTAAACTTCCTTACTGTGAAAAAAAATCAATCTCATTTTTTCCTCTTTTGCCATCTGGAGGTTTTGTCTCAAACACACACACAACACAGAAATGCTTCTCATTTTCACCTACACACCCACTAAAGGATCTCTGCATGACAAACCCCAGGACGCTGCACTTTCAGCCTGGCACAACTCCATGGAGACCCCTGGAGCTATCAGGGATTATCCACAACCTTCCTCTCACGTGCTAACAAGTAGAATTTCATAAAAATATGGAAATGCACAATGTTTCAACATGGGACACTTGGGTAAAGCAGTTTTGATTATCCCACACTGAGTAGGCAGGAAAAGATTCCCTGCACATGAACCATGTTATGGCCCTGAGAAATAATGTTGTTTTCTCAGCCCTTTCCTTCAGAATTGAGCAGACTCCTTAATGAGAAATCCTTTTTTATTTTTAGGGAGTAATGATGCAAAGGAGAGCATCTCAAAACAAAGCAGCACCATCCTAATTTGTCCCTTTCAGCAGGGCAGAGCACTCCCAGCCCACAGCCCTTGTCCCCTGGAAGGAGATCAGAGACTGCAGGCACACAGTGAATTTTGGGGTTGCTCACATCTGCAGATGATTAAAGAGATGCTCCCACTTTCCATGTGAAATGAGGAATTTAAAAGGATAAATTAATGATTGTACTGAAAAGAACTCTTTCCTCCCAACAATCCAAGATGCTCCTCAAGAAGGAATTAATGGAGGGAGCATTCTGCTGGAACCTGGAAGCTGCAGGCAACTGCAGCTTTAATAATAATTAACAGGTTGATTTTAATAATAATTTAACACCCTGATTATCCCATCCAGTTTGCTCAGCTAATTAGTGAGGAAATGGGAATTTTTCAGTGTTAGGTGGGACTGATCTCCACCTGGCTGTGTTTCAGCTTGGGTTTCCTATTCCCTTTCTTTAACTATAATATTAAATATGAAAAAAAAATTGAGGCAAATCTAGTTAAAAAAATGGGAGTTTTAAAGGGGGAACATGTGATTTGGATGTCACAAAACTTTGCTCTGCTCTGGCTTTGCCGGTGTCTGTCCACAAGCACAGAAATGCAAATCATCTTCTACCCCAGCACAAACCAGAAGAATGAGAAGTCTAATCTGAGTGATTATCTTCAGTCTATAATCCCATTTTTATCACACTGAAATCTCTGAAACAGATTTGTGTATTGAAGCTGCTGTGGAGTTTCTCCCTCATTTTCACCGGTGGAGGCCTGTTCAAGACTCAGGCTGCTCTAACCCAGGAGCTGCAGCAGTGGCCATCCAAAAACGGAGCAGAAATGGGATTCTCACTAATTTAGGGGGACAAAATCCACAAAGGAATTTTGGCCGTGCTCCATATTCTTAGAACCACAACAAAATAATGAATATTCCTATGTCTCTGCTTTTTTATTGTCTTTAGCTTTGCCTGTAAAGGGAAACATAGGCAATTTTAATTATTATTAGACATCTAATCCAGAAGATAAGAAATTGTATAGAAAAGAAATTGCTTTTGTTTTTCTGATAGTGCTTCCTGATCAAATAACTAAATTGAAGAGCAAAGAGGAAATGGGTATGTTCTGTTAGCTGTGCCAAACAAAATTCTGCTCAGCTGAAATTCAAGCTGTGTTCTGATGCATTTATCTTGGTGGCACCAAGTAATTCAGTCTAATTTTAGTTTTTCCAAAGAGTCCTGGTGTATTTTAAACATCACACACAAGAGAGATGCCTCAAACAAGGAGAGGGGAAAAGAATCCATTTCTTCTTTCATAAAATCTCCTACTCTCCTTGATTAAAGAACAAGAAATGAATTAAGGAAGTAATTGATTTCTACAGGTTAACACAACTAATGGCATGCTCTGTTAAACCCCAGAAAAGTGAATATAAGATTATTCTTCTCATTTCATGCATGAAATCAACGTTTTCATCTCGCCTGGCACAGGCTTTCAGGGCCTTACTTCAAGTCTATTTATTGGCTCAACAATTCTGTAATCAACAGTCGTGTCCCTTTCCTCTGCTCACTGATTGTAATGATGGGTATTTTGTCAAATTTTATGGGATCTGAGTCTTCCAGAGATTTTGATGGACATCTTTTGTCAAAACTGAGTGGTAACATCAATCAGGTTTCCACACTCTTGGGAATTCACATTTCCATCACAGACAGCCCACTGACTTTTGTTTTCAGGAGCTCTTATGGTAAAATCTTTCAAATCTACTCGTACCTGAAGTGTCAAAACAATGCCAAAATCTGTCAATACAATTTTCATTTTTCCTTGTAAAATTGGGCATCTGCTCATGTGCATTTGAATCTTTTTCTCTTTCTCTCTCTTTTCCAGTGATCAGAGCAAAAATCTCCAGTGAAAAGGTGGTTCCTGCCAGCGATGATCCCCTTGATAGCCACAAAATGATCCGGTATGAAATCAAACAAATAAAGGTACATGGAACCACTCAGCTTTTTTGTAGTTCGATGCTGATAACCTCTGCATATTTCAGCCCAAAATCACTGACCCCAAAACGCTGGGAAAGCTGGAAAAGGCTCCAGCTGCCCCCACAGGTAGACCCAGATGGGTAAATCACAGGAGGGATTAAAAAAAAAAGGGGAAGGAAAAAAAGAAAAGGAAATTTTTAATGACTTCTTAAATGTTAAGGATATAGACAAATTATTAAATTTGTCTATTTAAATTAAAAAAAAGGGGAAAGAAAAAAAGAAAAGGAAATTTTTAATGAATTATTAAATGTTATGGATATAGACAAATTATTAAATTTGTCTATTTAAATTTAAAAAAAAGGGGAAAGAAAAAAAGAAAAGGAAAATTTTAATGGATCCTTAAATGTTAAGGATATAGTCAAATGTTTTTCTTTACAAAAATAAATACATCAGTGCCAGAGAATTCCCTTTCCTCCCACTGGCACTTCAGTGTTCTGCTGCTCCTCTGCAGCACCTCAGGAGCCTGAGAGATATTCAGGAGGTTTTTGCTAAATAATGATTTTCAGGAGGGTATTTTTGATATTCAGGAGGTTTTTGGTAAATAGTGGTATTTTGATGAAGAATTTTGCTAAATAATAATATTCAGGATGGTTAATTTTGATATTCAGGAGGTTTTTGTTAAATAATTATATTTTTGATCAAGAATTTTGCTAAATAATGATATTCAGGAGGGGATTTTTTTGATATTCAGGAGATTTTTGCTAAATAATGATATCGTGATGAAGAATTTTGCTAAATAATGATATTCAGGAGGTGTTTTTTGATATTCAGGAGGATTTTGTTAAATAATGATATTCAGGAGGGTTTTGCTAAATAATGATATTTTGATGAAGAATTTTGCTAAATGACAATATTCAGGAGAAGTTTTTTTTAATATGTTGGAGTTTTTTGCTAAATAATGATATTTTGATGAAGAATTTTGTTATTTGTGATTTTGAAGGCACCATAACTGTGCTTCATTCTGTGAGTGGTGTCATCACACCTGGGTTTGGAGGATTCCTGATCTCCTGTGCCCTGAGTGTGGCAGCTGTGCATGATCCAAACTTTCACAGGGTTTCCCCAGTCTGTTCAGCTCCAATAAGGGAATATATTCATTAATAAAAATTGACCCCATGGAAGTCACCATCAAACTCTCACTGGTGCTAAAATGATCATGATGACGATCATTAAAATGATAATTTACCTTTTTCTGGAACACACAAGAAGTAGGTGATCTCTCTGAATTAAAATGTGTGAGTGTGCACACATTTTAATTCAGAGGTGGATTGGTGGGTTGGTTTCCAAGGCAGTTTCATTTCTCATTGTTCACTGAATATTATTTTATCATTTTGAACTTTTCCATTTACCGGGAACACTTAAGAAGGTCCTTATGCATGGCTACATGGTTAAAAAAAATATTCAATCATTCAAGTTGTATCCACTGATAGAATCCCCTCACAGGAGCTTGAGTAGGAAGAATCTTTGCTAAACAAGAATATCTCAAAGTAATCACAGGGATGGTTATCACACATGACTCCTGGTGAGGTTTTATAGCAATTAAGTCAGTCTCTACCTTGCTAAAACAAACCCCAAAGCTGAGCTGTCACCATCTGCCACTTCCCATCCTCTTAAATGTTAAGGATATATTCAAATGTTTCCTTACAGAAATAAATACATCAATGCCAGAGAATTCCCTTCCCTCCCACTGGCACTCCAATGTTCTGCTGCTCCTCTGCAGCACCTCAGGAGCCTGAGAGAAAAGCAAATCATCTCCTACCCCAGCACAGACAAGAAGAATGAGAAATCTAATCTGAGTGATTATTTTCAGCCTACAATCCCATTCTTATCCCACTGAAATCTCTGAAATAGATTTGTGTGTTGAAGCTGCTTTGGAGTTTCTCCCTAATTTTCACCACTGGAGGCCTGTTCAAAACTCAGGCAGCAGGAACAGGAGTTTATTTAATTCCAAGTCAGCCAGGCCTGGACAAAGCAGAGATGTGTTTTTTAGGAAATATCCTCTACATCATCACACACAATACTCTTTTCCTGACCCAGAGATGGGCAAACTGAGAGGCATTTTAAAAACTTTTATTCAATTTAGACTAACAACAGAAGGGTTGTGATAACTCCACCCCTCAAATCCTTCCTCCTGACCAGAGAGCTCAGGACCAAACCTTCCCCTTCCTCAGGACCCAGCTCCCTGCTCCAAGCAGGGAAGGATTTTGGGAAGGGAAAGATTTTGGTGGGAAACCAGGAGCTCTGTGAGCTGCCCACACTCTGTGGACCCAGTGTGGCACCAAAATAAACCCAGCAAGGCGACAGTGCCTGATAAAGCCCACAGGAGTGACAGGGAGGGGTAACCTGTGGCATCCAAGGGATGTAACTGAGGTGAAAATTAAAAATGCTGAACATTTACTCAGTTTGCTGAGCAGCTGATCTCAGAGCTATAGTTGAGCACACCATGTCTCACCTCAGGTGACAGAATTTTAAAGAATTTAACTCCACAGTGAGTGTGAAAGGTGAGGATATCCTCTGTCCACCATTCCAATCTTCTCTCAAGTGCTGCTGCTGCTTTCTCCTGGTGCCCTGCAGGCCCACAAGCTGCAGGGTCCTTTGGATGTTCAGTGGCTCTGAGCACAGGGCTCTGGGTAACCCAGAATTCACAGAATTCACAGAATCACTGGGTTGGGGAGACCTTCAAGATCATTGAGTCAAGCCCAGCCCCAACACCCCAACCAAACCCTGGCACCCAGTGCCACATCCAGGCTTTGTTAAACACACCCAGGGATGGTGACTCCATCCATTCCAGGCCATTCCAGAACTTTATCACCTTTCTGTAAAAAGCTTTTTCCTGATATCCAACCTGAATTTCCCTTGGTGCAGCTCGAGGCTGTGTGCTCTGGTTCAATCAGTGCTGCCTGGAGAAAGAGCGCAGCCCCAGCTGAGCACAGGCACCTTTCAGGAGCTGTGCAGCGTGATGAGGGCAGCCCTGAGCATCCTTTTCTCCAGGCTCAGCACCCCCAGCTCCCTCCGGGGTTCCTCACAGGGTTTGTGTTCCCAGCCCCTCTCCAGCCTCGTTGTCCCCTCTGGATGTGCTCAGTGTCCCAAGGTCCTTCCCAAACGGAGGGGCCAGAGCTGGGCACAGCACTCAGGGTGCTCTGCATGCCCAGGGTGGGGACAGACACAGAATTTGCTTTATGTAACACAGCAGGGAAGAACAGAGCCTCCAATCATCTCTTTTGAGCTGTAAAATGCATCAAAAATTAGCACCAAAATTCACAAAAATTATCACCTCAGTGTGAGTTTTGGAGAGGGCTTTTAGACCACTCAGATATTCACACTTTCCTCATCAATTGTGCCCTCTTGGAAAGGGAACACAGAGCCCTTTGGTGGTTTTATTTGACTGTAATATTCTGCACAATGCTGCTGTTTCTCTGCTCTATTGCACTCAGGGTTGTTGAGCTGTTCCATTAATGGGATGACAAATTCTGTTTCTCTCATTTTAAATTCAGTGCATTAGGCTTAGCATTAAAAAGTTGCTATTCTAGATGGAAATATTAAAAGAGAATTTTGATATTCATTTTCAGAAATAAAAGAAAATTACAATGGGGCTTTCATTTTTTTGGCAATGGGTCAGCATGTCAAGAAGCTATAAATGTTTTCAATTACTGCTTTTTTTCTTGCAATATTTACAGCATTATATTAAGGAGAGAAGATAATTGATTTGTATGCAATTGAATATTTCTTCATAATACTTTTGTAACTGACTTGGTCATCTCACTAATTCTAAAATCTTCAAGCAAAGCCATGTGCTGGTGCTGGTTCCACCCCTCAGGAGCACAGGATGGTGTCCATACAGACTTTAGGAGCAGGGTCACATCTCTCCATCCCCCAAATCCTCACCCTATTTTCCTATTCCAATAAAGTCCCACCAGGACCACGCATCATTGCAGAACCAAACCCAACCACCTTATCCCTCTGCAGAGAAATATCCATGCTTTCAGAGAAATATCCATGCTTTTAGGGAAGGGAGAATATGATTGAGAAGATTAAATATGATTCACTGAGTTAAACACAAGATTATAATCTTTAGAATTGCTGTAACAATCATATAGGTCAAAAAAAAAAAATCTGAAAATGCAACCAAAAAACCTGCAACAAAACAAACATTAAACTAATTTAAATAATAACTGAATCCCCATTATGCATTGCTGTGGATATTTAGGGAAAAAACCCTGCAACAAAACAAACATTAAACTAATTTAAATAATAACTAAATCTCCATTATGGATTGCTGTGGATATTTAGGGGGTTTATAGCTAAATCAAGGTGTGCTGTCTGCACAAAACCTCCAAAATTGAGGCCAAATCTGAGATATCCATGGAAAATCTGTTCCCTACAAGGCCCTGAGGGTTTCTGAACGTGGAGAGAGCTTGGGGCAAAGTTGACCTGCAGAGCTCCCTGCACAGACACATTTCCCTCCTCATTTTGCACATTTTCTGTGGTTCCCACTGCTGCTTTGGCCAGGGTGCCAGTTTGGGTTGTGTTTTGGTCTGTCTGGGCCTGTTTGTTTCATTCCCCAGAGCATTTCAAATCCCAGCTCATATTTTTGGATCGGCCGCGCGGTGACAACAGCGTTGGCTTCCTTCCCCCCTTCCATAAACAAAGCCTCAGCAAAAACCAACATATGACAGAGTATTTTCTAGTGGCCTGTGCTATTTAAATCCCCTGGGAGGGCCCGAGGAACACAAACACATTTTCCAGGGACAGCAGCTGCGACTGGCAGAGCCGTGAGGCCCTGCCATTGTCCCCAGCTGCCAGCACGTGGCATGATGTCACCAAGGCTGGCGGTGGCACACGAGGTGATGACAGGCACCCAGCAGCACCTTGGACACTGCTCAGCTTGTTTGCATCTTTTCATGCCTCATTTCTCATCTCTTCTCGGGGCTGAAGCTGCTGGTTAAGCCTGAAAAGGGTTTTGATCCGAAATCTCTCCGTTTGGGGGCTGGCAGGGTGGGAATCCTGAGGGGTGGGCAAAGTTTTCCAGCAGTTATTTGAGAAGGTGCCATGCAGCTGCATTTCTCTTCACAGAGAAAAGCAAGGCACGGCTTCCCAAAGATATTTCTGGGAATGGCAGCTCTGAACCTCAGAGAAAGAAAAAAACGGTTCTTATCTCATTTACTGCTCCTGTAGTTGTTTTAAAACAAATTTTTTACTCCTTTGTCTTAAAACAAGTAGAATGCATTATGGAAGACTGTTTACTTGAAAAGAATTAATAATTAGATTCTGGTGTGAGTGTTTTGATTCACTGAATTGAATCCAAGCGTGTGTGTCAGGACTGTTGGCTGACAGTCACAAAATCCTAAACAATTGAGTTGAGTGCTTGTTTAGATTCAGTGTAATAGAGTATAAAATAATGTTATTATAGTATAAAATAATATAGTATAATAGTATTATAGTATAAAATAATGTAGTATAATAGTATAAAATAATATAGTATAATAGTATAAAATAATATCGTGCAATAAAGTAATGGTATAATATAGTATAATATAGTATAATGAAGTAATTAATTAAGCTTTTAATAAGATAGAGTCCTCCTCATCTTTCTCCCCTCATCAGGGTTGCCCTGCATTTCTGATGGTCCCACTGGTGAGAATTTGGGATATGGAGAATCGCTCTATTTTAGTGACCAAAAAAGAAAACAATGCTCAGGAAATGTTCAGTTCCTCAGCACATTTGGTGTCCCAGGAGATCCCAACAACTCCACTGACCAAAATTCCCCAGAGGAATCCACTGAGAAATATTTGCATTTTTAGTCCCCAGAGGAATCCACTGAGAAATATTTGCATTTTTAATCAGGATGATTGCTGTCTCTGCATTGCTCCTTGAATGGAATATGCCACTAGAATATAAACTGAAGAGAAAGTTTTAACAATCCATGAAATGTGCTGAAAAAGCACATTTTAAAAGCTATAATTTAAAAAATCAAGGCCTACTTAATTCCCTCCTAAAACTCTTGGATGAATTTCATTAAGTGCAGAGGAAAAGTCCAGTTCTTGGTGTTTTCTCACATTAATTCAGGCTTTGGAGCCTTCCTTAAAGAGACTCACCCTTTATCTCTTCCAGCTCTTTTTTGCAATTGTTTTTTCATGTTTCTGACTCTGTTTCTGATCATTTTCAGATGTTTAAAGGCTTTGAGAAGCTCAAGGATGTCCAGTATGTCTACACCCCTTTTGATTCATCACTCTGTGGAGTGAAACTAGAAGCCAACAACAAAAAACAGTATCTTCTAACAGGTAAAATGGAGCAAAAAAAAAAAAAAAAAATCAATGTTCCTGGGGATTCAGAAGGGGCTGCTTGGAGCGAATTTGCTAAAATATGCAAAGGAATGCATTTATGTACTAAATACAAACACAGCAGGATGTAAAAATTGTGTTCAGCTCTAGTTTTAGTGTGACCTAACACATTTTCCACTCTTCCTGCAGCACTCTTAGAGCAGTTCCAAAGGAAGGGAAGGTCAGTAATAAGTAAATAGAAGGAATTTTGATTCAGTATTTTCCATTATTATTTGATTAAAAACAACAGTGCTGATTTTCCCAGGAATGCAAATGTGCATAATGAGAAAACACCTGCCTGTGTGTCTGCAGGCCTGGGGTTCCAAGTAAATACAGATTTTTGTAGACACTCCTAAAATCCAGTTTAACTGCATTTGCATCCACCCCTTGCTGGCAGACTATCAACACCTTTAGAAAAAAAATATCCTTTTTTAATCTTTTGCATCCATCCAGCATGCAGTTAGGAGAACATTCTCTCTGTTATAATTAAATTAATTTAAAAAAAATTAGAGTATGACTAATTTGGTGCAATTAGTTAAAAGCTCAAGGTGTTCTTCCACTTCTCGTATTTAGAAAACAATTTTATTGCTTTGATTTCTTTGTGTTTTCCATGCTGCAGGCCAAATTTTAAATGATGGCAAAGTGCTGATCCACTTGTGCAACTACATTGAGCCGTGGGATGATTTATCCTTGTCTCAGAAAAAGAGCCTGAACCAGAGGTACCAGATGGGCTGTGGCTGCAAGGTGAGTGCTGAGCACAGAAATGGAAATAAACGTGGTTTATTCACATTTTTGAGAATAAACCTCAGTTTAGAGCAAGCTGCAAGTCAGACAGTAATTTCAGAGCGGATAAATGTAAATAAATAATGGTTAATCACATTTTTGAGAATAAAGCCCAGGTCAGAGGAAGCTGCAAGGTGAGTGCAGAGCAGATAACTGTAAATAAGCCATGTTAATTCCCATTTTTGTGATAAAAATCCAGTCCAAGGAAGGCTGCATGGTGAGTGCAGAGCAGATGGATGTCAATAAACACAGTTAATTTCCATTTTTGAGAATGAAGCCTAGTTCAGAGGAAGCTTCAAGGTGAGTGCCAAGCAGATAGCTGTAAATAAAGACTGTTAATTCACATTTTTGAGAATAACCCCAGTAGAAGGAAGCTACAATGTGAGTGCAGAGCAGATAGATGTAAATTAACAGCATTTATTCACATTTTTGAGAATAAACCTCAGTCCAAGGGAGGCTGCAAGGTGAGTGCAGAGCAGGTAAGTGTAAATAAACACTGTTAATTCCCATTTTTGAGAATAAAGCCCAGGTGAAAAGGAAGCTTTAAGCTGAGTGCAGAGCAGATAGATAGATATCAGATAAATATGTAAATATCACATTTTTTGAGAATAAAGTCCAGGTCAGAGGAGGCTGCAAGGTGAGTGCAGAGCAGGTAAATGTAACCAAGGCCTGTTTATTCCCATTTTTGGGAACAACCCCAGTCCGAGGGAGGCTGCAAGGTGAGTGCAGAGCAGATAGATGTAAACAAGCACCGTTAATTCCCATTTTTGGGAATAAACCCCAGTCCAAGAGAGCCTGCAAGGTGAGTGCAGAGCAGGGAGATGTAAATTAACATTGCTAATTCACATTTTTGAGAATAAAGCCCAGGTCAGAGGAAGCTGCAAGGTGAGTGCAGAGCAGATAGATGTAAATAAACAATTTTTTTGGGAATAAACCCCTGTTCAGAGGAAGATGCAAGGTGAGTGCAGAGCAGATAGAAGTAAACAATCCCCATTTATTCCTGTTTTTGGGAATAACCACAGTCCAAGGGGGGCTGCATGGTGAGTTCAGCGCAGATAGATATAAATAAACACATTTTTGGGAATGAACCCCAAGTCAGAAGAAGCTGCAAGGTGAGTGCAGAGCAGATATATGTCAATAAATACCATTTATTCCCATTTTTGAGAATAAACATCGGTTCAAAGGAAGCTGCAAGGCGAGTGCAGAGCAGGGAGATGTAAATTAACATTGCTAATTCACATTTTTGAGAATAAAGCCCAGGTCAGAGGAAGCTGCAAGGTGAATGCAGAGCAGATAGATCTGAATAAACACTCTTTTTGAGAATAAACCTTGGTTCAGAGGAAGCTGCAAGGTGAGTGCAGAGTAGATACAGGTAAATAAGCACCATTAATTCCCATTTTTGGGAACACCCCCAGTCCAAGGGGGGCTGTGAGTGCAGAGCAGATAAATGTAAATAAACACTGTTTTGGAGAATAAACCCCTATTCAGTGGAAGCTGGAAGGTGAGTGCAGAGCAGATAGATGTAAATAAACACTTTTTTGGGAATAAACCCCCATTGAGAAGAAGAAGAAGAAGATGCAAGGTGAGTGCAGAGCAGATAGACATTAACAAGCCCCGTTAATTCCCATTTTTGGGAACACCCCCAGTCCGAGGGAGGCTGCAAGGTGAGTGCAGAGCAGATAGACGCAAACCAGCATGGTTAATTCCCATTTTTGGGAACACCCCCAGTCCAAGGGGGGCTGTACGGTGACTGCAGAGCAGATAGATGTAAATAAACACTTTTTTTTGGGAATAAACCCCCATTCAGCGGAACCTGTAAGGTGAGTGCAGAGCAGATAGACGTAAACAAGCACGGTTCATTCCCATTTTTGGGAACACCCCCAGTCCAAGGCAGGCTGCAGGGTGCTGAAGGCCGGCTGTCTCCCCAGATCACCACGTGCTACTCGGTGCCCTGCTCCATCACGGCGCCCAACGAGTGCCTGTGGACGGACTGGCTGCTGGAGCGGCGGCTGCAGGGCCACCAGGCGCGCCACTATGCCTGCATCCGCCGCAGCGACGGCACCTGCAGCTGGTACCGGGGCGGGCCGCCCCCCGAGAAGGAGTTCATGGACATCAGCGAGCCCTGAGCGCCCAACGGCCCCTCAAGCACCGCCCTGGGAGGCTCCTTCCATCCCTCCGGCCCAGAAACCAGCACCGCGTCCCCAAAGCGCCCGTGGGGCTGGCACCGCTGCAGGGCGAGGGACAAACCTCCTGCAGGCACCTGCTCTGCTCTGTTATGCTTTGCCCAGAGGGCTGGCAGCGTCCTCCAAGGCACAACAAACCCCCTTTCTTGCCAATATGAATGTACGGGAATAAAATTTGCCAGAATTTTGCCAATACGAATGTCCGAGAACAAATTTTGCCAGAATTTTTTCCAATTTAGCCATTATGAATGTTCAAGAACAAAAATTTTGCCAATATGAATGTTCGAGAACAAATTTTTCAAGAATTTTGTCGATTTTGCCAATATGAATGTTCGAGAACAAAAATTTTGCCAGAATTTTGCCAATGCAAACATTCAAGAACAAATTTTGCCAATACAAATGTACAAGAATGAATTTTGCCAGAATTTTGCCAATATAAATGTTCAAGAATAAAATTTGCCAGAATTTTGCCAATATGAATATTCAAGAACAAATTTTGCCAAAATTTTGCCAATATGAATGTTCAAGAACAAATTTTTCCAGAATTTTGTCAATTTTGTCAATATGAATATTCAAGAACAAAAATTTTGCCAATATGAGTGTTCAAGAACAAATTTTGCCAGAATTTTACCAATACGAATGTTCAAAAGCAAATTTTGCCAGTTTTGCCAATATGAATGTTCAAGAAAAATTTTGCCAGAATTTTTTCCAATTTTGCCAACATCAATGTAAAAGAACAAATTTTCCCAGAATTTTGCCAATATGAATGTTCAAGAACAAATTTTGCCAGAATTTTGCCAGAATTTTACCAATATGAATGTTCAAGAACAAAAATTTTGCCAAAATGAATGTTCAAGAACAAATTTTGCCAGAATTTTGCCCCCTGTTTTGATCACCTGCAGGTTATGAGCTCCCTGTGTTTTATTCCAAATCTTTCCAATGAACTACAGAATGTTTTATAGAACTATTTTTGTTTTTTTCTGTATGAAAGTCTTGGATACGAAAGAATTATTGTACAGTGTATATGTAAAGTATTATAACAATGTGCTATTAAAAAAAGAAAATGATTCACAAATATTTCCTTGTGTGTTGAATCGAGTTGAACACTTCTGTGATTAAAACAATCTGTGCTCCACATTTTGTACTTTCCTTATGTCACAGCTTCCTTTATCCACAGAGTTGTAACTTCCATTGATAACTAAATTAAGAAACAGCCTTGATAATCAAAACCCCATTCCCAAGTCAGCATTCCTATGGACTAACCACACCTTGCTGAAGGAAAAGCCAGGTTTTTAATCCATGGGTTAAAGCATTAATCCATGGATTTAAGTTTTCCATGGAACAAATTCCAAGCCCAAATAATGACAGGCTAAAAATGCTCAGAACTACAAAAACCATGTCCATCCTCAGGGCAGCTGCAGCCCTTAAAACCTCCCTAAATACATGACCAATACTTGTACCCCAGCACTGTTAAAACTTTACAAACTCACCTGAAAACACATGCAAGAAATATTGCATAACTCACACTGCAATGATTTCTGGAAGCTTTCAGATATTTCATCCTAATATGATTTCATTGTTTTTCATTCATTAACACCCCCCATACCCTGTCAGTGAATTTGGCTGCTTGTGAACTCAAACTAGAGAAGGGTTACAGCACATTTTGCCTGTAACTGTTTTACTGTCATAACTTTCCTGAATTGATGACTGGAGTTAGTAACTAATCCTTCACACACGCATTTAAGTTGATAAAAGTAATTCAGTTCACAGTGGTGAATCTTTGGGAAGTGTAAATCCCAAAGTCCAGACTATTTGTGTCCCAGAAAAAAGGGGCAGAGCCCTCAGGCAGGATGGGAATCTCCATTATTTGCCTTTTCTGACAGGTTTTACTATTTCAAGGACAGGTTTGGAAATGCTCTTCTAAAATAGATTTACGTTTTCTGTGACAAAGTTTACACATTTCCAGTGAAATGCAAATGGTGCAAGGCCAACAGGAAAACATGTCATTATCCTTTGAGGAATAAGTGTCCCTTAATACATAAAAGCCAATATTTCACTTTTTATTTCCTACAAATCAGTCTGACTCTTAATTTACAACCCTAAATTAAAACCATATCTATGTGCTGCCAAATGTAAAGCCCAGTTTGTTTTCTGCTTTAGACAAACCAAAAATTTCCTAGGCACTAACAATTTGGACCACAGACTTATCTAAATCAAACAAAAAGAATTAAAAATTCTTCTAAAAAAATTCTAAAAAATTCTTCTAAAAATTATTCTAAAAAATAATTGATATTACAGTGACATTATTGGCAGAGCTATTTACTAACAGTGCTGTGCATTTACATTAATAATTTCCAGAAAGATTCAAAGCCAGGCTTTATTTCCTCGTGTCAGATCAAACCAATACCTAGAGAAGCCTACAGAGCTTAATAACCACAAAGATTAAAATTCAGTGGGTAATATTCAATGATTAATATTTAATGGTTAATATTCAGTGGTTAATATTCAATACCAGTCCGGTGGCATTTGTCTCCAAATCCATTTTGATGGGATGGTGCCTTTTGGATAACAGCAAACAGGTATTTTATGCTTTTTAGCTCTGGTCCTATTTCAGTTTTACAGTAATAAGACCTGAACCTCGACTCACCCAGCCCAGGTTGCCTTCTCTGGGCACCTTGCACACAGAAATGCTTTCTCTGATATTTATGGACAGACTGTAATGCAAATTGCATGCCACAATTAGTTTTTAAAAATTTCCTACTTTTCCTGCTATAAAATGAGGTGTTTCACAATGTCTACTTTTATTTCTGGCAGAGCAGAATTCTGCCCAAACTCCCCACAATGGTTGGTACCAAGATTTGGTTTTTTCCCCTCATATCAATAAATGTGGCAAGAAAAGCTTTACAAAACCCAGCTCAGAATGAGATTTTATTTTCCCTGAGGAAGACTCTCAAAAGCCTTGACTACAACCTGACATTCTGAATAAGTTATTTTAATATCAGGATTTTTACTGTAGCGGCATTGATACCTTTTCAACAGCAGATTCTTTTTACAACGTTTTCTTTTTCCTTCTTGAAATTGTGTTTGTGTTAAACGAGAGGGTGGAGCAGAAACACAGCCTGGCATAGCATTTTAATTTAATTTGAAAATGGCTCACATGACTTTTGGTGAGAGTAGGGAAAAGACGAGAGAAGGGAGCCTGTATAGGTGAACAGGTAAAAAAAATCCCCACCTGGAATATTGCTGGTGTTTCCTCAACATTCCAGATAGGTTTTAATTAAATTGTTCAGCAATTATGTTGGAAAATCCTTGTGGTTTTTGCAGAGAACAGAGGAGTGGGAATGCAGTGAAATAAAGAGAACTAATTACTGAGGGAAAGGATGAAGGTATGACTCAGCCAGCAATGAGTTCAAAAAACCTCACAGCGTTTTTCGTGATCAGTCTGGGATGAATGTTTCTGTTTCCAAAAGCGTTTCATTAAAGCGGCTCTGGTTTTACACAAAAGAATGGAATCTTTGTTTATTTACCTTGCGCTGCCCAAAGCCTCAGCACAAACCAGCAGAGGATGAAAGGAGCACCTCTGGCACGCTCAGCTGACCCTCAATTCCCAGAGAGGGAATTTGGGGCTTTTTCCCTCTCCCCACGTCCCCCCTGAGCTGGTTTGCACTGGAGGGGGGGGGACAGCTCCAGGTTCCCGTTTGGAGAACAAAAAGGGAAGGAGAAAAAGCAGGAGGAACACCAAGAAAAATATTTAAAACTGTAATTGCCAAATTCTGCATCAACAAATGCCAGCGAGGCCAGCTGTTGATAAAGTGATGAGAACCCAAAACAAAATTACATGATATGATTTCAGTGCAGCATCAGGAGGCTCTGATTTCCAGATCATCTTACAACCCACTCCAGAAATTCAAACAAAATGTTGTCTTGTACCACACTGCCTGATTATTTCCCAAGCCACAAAGTTCCAGATGCTTTCTTTGGGAGGAATAAAACCAAACAAATGAGTGTCATCACAGGCAGCTCTTGCAGCAGCTCTCAGTGGCAATGCAATACCCAAATGGATTAATTTTCTCTACATTACCATAGAAATATGCAAAAAAATTACTTGGCTGTGGAGAACGACACTAAAAAGTTCAAAAAAAGAGAAATAACTTATAAGTTTTGACTTCAATGAGTAATGTAAAGGAATTAAGACAGGCAAAACCACTTACAGGGTTGCTACACTCAGAAAAATATGCCATTTAAACTTATAAGTCTGAAACATTAGTTCTTGCCCCAAAATGAAATGTTCTTTGTTTCTATGGGCTGAAGTTTAGCAATGCACCCAAAAGTTCTGCTTTTTTCAATAAAATTACAGCCATTCTCAAGTTTGAAGGATCCCTTAGGGGTCATTGTGTCCCACTCCCTGCTCCTCACTGCTGCCTAAAACTGAACCACAGCCTAAAACCATCACCCAGTGCTCCTTGGACTCTGTCAGCCTCATCTGTGTTATTTTCTGTCTGTGCAGCACTGGGAATCAGTGTTAGCCCAGGTACCTGAAGATCACAAGTCACAACCAGCCTGGTTTTGGCTGAGTTCAAAGCTCTGCAGTGCCCAGTGCATCCCTCCAAAGCCAACACACACTGTGAGTACACCAGAAATTAAAACACTGGGAGAAAACCAACCATGGAAGTGACTCCTGCACTTTCAGAGCTGCTCAGTGTCTTTTAAAGCATTTAATCTCTCTGAGATCTGCAGCTGGGCAGGTGGAAAGTGACCACTGTGCCATGTGAGCACCCTCCAGCTCACCATCACAGTGATTTCAAGAGCTCACCCCATCCCATCCCCTCCCAAAACTCCTAAAATGGCTTTTGGAGCATGCAGTAAATGGGAGAAGGGGGTTGTGCCCCCCAGTCCCTGTTTTGGAGGCACGGGGAGCAGGTTCAGCCCTGCTGCTTGCACCTACCATCTCCTTGTGGTTGGGGTAGAAGGTCTGCTCGATCAGAGGGAACTTCTCTGGGCCCAAAGATTTGTAGACAGACACCAGCTGGGCAAACTGCGAAACAAAGCAGAGAAAACAAAGCTCAGGAGAGGAACCACACTGTGCCCACAGGAGCTCCTACCCAGGACATTTGGCTTCTTGTCTTGGGTGTTTGATGAACTCAGCAGATCCAGGGGCGCATCCTCCCTCCTCCTCCTCCTCCTCCTCACACCGCCCTTTAATCCACCCAAGCTGTGACTTCATCTACAAACCAACACAGAAAAACACCTTGAAAAGTCAAACCCTCACAGGTACAGGAGATGAAATACATGGGAATACTGAATTACAAATATCTCACTGTCTGTATGTTTGAAGATGATTCTGTGATGATAAAATCATTATAATTTTGCCTTTTCTGTCCTCTTAA